GTAAGTCTTTACAGATGCAAACTTCTCCAACTTTCTCCCACAGAGCAGCTGGTGGGTTTGAACCACCAAACTTTTGGTCAGCAGCCAAATGCCTTAACCACTACACCACCAGAGCTACTTATTTGGCCTATATAATCTTTCATTATTACAATTTGAGGCATGACTTTTTTCTTTAGTTCACTCAGCTTGAGAAACACTGAGCATATTTTCTCTTTTGAGTTTTGCAAAAAGGACAAGGAGGCCACATGTTCTGACCTCTTCTAATCCCACAAGAGGAAGACAGGATTACCAGCAGTAACCCAAGGCCTATTCCTGCCAGGCCAGACATGCTGCCTCCCTCCAGCCCTTTCTCCAACCATTCCTCCCAAAGTACCCACCACCTCTCTCCTGGGTTCGATAATTCACTGCAGTGGCCACACAGAGCTCACAGATTATGGGGTTTATTAGGGAAGCATCACAGGCTACAGTTCAAGTTCAGGAAAAATGCTCAGCCTCTCTCCCAGCCCACCGTCCCTCAGCCAACAGTCTCTCACAGTCTCTTTCCCAGCAGTGCTGGTCCCTCCGTGTCTCACTCAGCAATGTATGTCTCTTGCGTCTCTTTTCCAGCAGCATGTGTCTCTTTCAGGGGCGCGTGTCTCTTTCGGCAGCACTTCTTCCTCAACCAGCAGTCAGAGAGAATTCTGCCTCTAGGAGCCCTCCTTTTGAGCCCGGCAGGGTGGTCAAACTAGCCAATCATAGCATCAGAACTCTAAGCACTTGACAGAGAGTGGGCACCTCCCAGAACATTGTTTTGTGCCACTCCCAACAGAAATACTCCAGATGAACAACTTCAGCAACAAGGAGCTCCTCAGTTGCTCATAGAAAATCCCACCTTGGAGTTTACAAATACTTATGGGTAGAAAAGCCACACTAAATAATTTACTACACCACAAGTTTCTAACTCCAAGTCTTTGCAGATTTCATTATAGTACTTTACTTTGTCTTCTCGAGCTGCCCTCTAAAATCTTCAGCTCAGCTTTTTACTTCATCATTTCTTCTATGCACTTTCCATGTGCAAAAACCTGGAGTTAGAAAACCAAAAGGGAAGAACACACTCAGCATTTCTCAAGCTGAAAGAACTGAAGAAAAAATTCAAGCCTCGAGTTGCAATATTGAAGGATTCTGTTGACAAAATATTAAATGATGCAGGAAGCATCAAAAGAAGATGGAAGGAATACACAGAGTCACTGTACCAAAAAGAATTGGTCATTGTTCATCCATTTCAAGAGGTGGCATATGATCAAGAACCAATGGTACTGAAGGAAGAAGTCGAAACTGCACTGAAGGAATTGGTGAAAAACAGGCCTCCAGGAATTGATGGAATATCCATTGAGATGTTTCAACAAATGGATGCCGTGCTGGAGGCACTCACTTGTCTATGCCAAGAAATTTGGAAGACAGCTACTTGGCCAACTGACTGGAAGATATCCATATTTGTACCTATTCCAAAGAAAGGTGATCCCACAGACTATGGAAATTATCAAACAATATCATTAATATCACACGTAAGTAAAATCTTGCTGATTGTTGTTGTGTTGTTGTTATGTGCCATTGAGTCGGACCTGACTCATAGCGACCCCTCTTTGGGTTTCTGAGGCAGTATCACTATGGAAGTAGATTGCCCAACCTTCCTTCCAAGGAGTGGCTGGTGGGTTTGAACCCCAGCCTCCTGGTTAACAGTCAAGTGCCTTAGGCACTACGCTACCAGAGCTCCCTAAATCTTGCTGAAGATAATTCAAAAATGGTTGCAGCAGTATGTTGACAGGGAACTTCCAGAAAAGCAAGTAGATTCAGAAGAGGACATGGAACAGGGGATACCATGGCTGATGTCAGACAGATCTTGGCTGAAAGCAAAGAATATCAGAAAGATGTTTACTTGTGTTTTATTGACTATGCAAAAGCATTTGTGTGGATCATTACAAATTATGGATAACATTGAAAAGAATGAGAATTCCAGAACATTTAATTGTGCTCATGAGGAACGTGTACGTAGACCAGGAGGCTGTCATTCGAACAGAACAAGGGGATATGCATAGTTTAAAATCAGGAAGGGTGTACGTCAGGGTAGTAGTCTTTCAGCATACTTATTCAATCTGTATGCTGAGAAAATAATTCAAGAAGCTGGACTATATGAAGAAGAACATGGCATCAGGATTGGAGGAAGGCTCATTAACCTGAGATATGTGGATGACACAACCTTGATTGCTGAAAGTGAAGATGAGTTGAAGCATTTACTGATGAAGATTAAAGACTACAGTCTGCAGTATGGACTATACCTCAACATAAAGGAAATGAAAATCCTCACAACTGGACCAATAAGCAGCATCATGATAAATGGAAAGAAGATTGAAGTTATCAAAGATTTTATATTACTTGGTTCCACAATAAGCACAAATGGAAGCAGCAGTCAGGAAATCAGATGACATATTGTACTGGGCAAATCTGTTGCAAAAGACCTGGTTAAAGTGCTGAAGAGCACAGATGTCTCTTTGAAGACAGGTCCACCTAACCCAAGCCATGGTGTTTTTAATCACCTCATATGCATGTGAAAACTGAACAGTGTATAAAGAAGACCAAAGAAGAGTTGATGCTTTTGAGTTGTGTTGGCAAAGAATACTGAAAGTACCATGGACTGCCAGAAGAACTAACAAAGCTGTCCTGGAAGAAGTGCAGCCGTAATGCTCCTTGGAAGCAAAAATGGCCAGACTTCGTCTCACCTAAGTTGTCAAAAGGGACCATCCCCTGGAGAAGGATATCATGCTTGGTAAAGTGGAGGGTCAGCAAAAAAGGGGGAGGATCGATAACAGTGGCTGCAGCGATGGGCTCAGGTACAGCAAGAATGGTGAGGCTGGTGCAGGACCAGGTAGTGTTGTGTTCTGTTGTACACAGGGTCGCTATGAGTCAGAGCTGACTCAATTGCACCTAATGACACTCAAGAGCAAGTTTCAAATTCTCTTCTGACATCCATTTTGGTCTTTTCTTCCTTTCTGTCTTTTTGTTGACCTTTTGCTTTCTTCATGTAGGGTCTTCTTGATGTTGTCCCACAGCTTGTCTGGTCTGTAGTCATTGGTGTTCAATGCATCAAATCTGTTCTTGAGATGGTCTCTAAGTTCAGGTGGATTATACTTAAGGTTGTATTTTGGCTGTCATGGACTTGTGTTAGTTTTTTTCAGGTTCAGCTGAAACTTACATGTGAGCAATTGATGGACTGTTCCATAGTCAGTCTCTGGCCTTCTTCTGACTGGTAACATTGAGCTTCTCTATCATCTCTTTCCACAGATGTAGTTGATTTGATTCCTGTGTATTCCATCTGGTGAGGTCCATGTGTATAATTACCCTTTATGGTGTTTTTAAAAAAGGTATTTGCAATGAATAAGTCATTGGTCTTGCAAAATTCTGTCATGCAATCTCTGAACTCATTTCTATCAGCAAGGCTGTATTTTCTAACTAGCGATGCTTCTTTGTTTTCAACTTCTGCATTCCAGTCACCAGTAATTATCAATACATCCTGAGTGCATGTTTTATCAATTTCAGCCTATAGAAGTTGGTAAAAATCTTCCGTTTCTTCATCTTTGGCTTTTGTGGTTGGTGCATAAATTTGAATAATAATAGTATTAACTGGTCATCCTTGTAAGCGTGTGGATATTATCCTATCACTGACAGCATTGTCCTTCAGTAAGTATAGATTGTGAAATGTTCTTTTTGACAACGAGTGTGACACCATTCCTATTCAGTTTGTCATTCCTGGCATAGTAGAACATATGATTGTCTGATTCAAAATGGCCAATACCAGTCCATTTCAGCTCACTAATGCCTTAGGGTATCAATCTTTATGTGTTCCATTTCATTTTTGACAATTTCCAATTTTCCTAGATTCATGCTTCATACATTCCACATTCCAATTATTAATAGATGTTTGCAGCTGTTTCTTCTTGTTTTGAGTTATACCACATCAGCAAATTAAGATCTGGAAAGCTCTACTCCATCCATGTCATTAAGGTAGATTCTATACTGAGGAGGCAGCTCTTCCCCACTTGTAATTTGAGTGCCTTCCAAACTCAGGGGCTCATCTTCCAGCAGTAACATTAGCAAAAATTAATAAAATCACAAGATGAATTAAACTGACAAGCTAGTAGTATATATACATCAGTTTCTGGAACAGGCTAATAACCAGTCTGCACTAAATGAATTAGCTACAGCAAAGAGAGAAGTGGGCTAGAACAGTTAGGAAAGCCTTTTTGGAGGAGCGGGGGCTTGAGCCAAACCCTAGAATGGATAGTTTGAGTAATATGAAAGGAAAGGAAAACCATTCCAGATTGAAATTATATCAATGATAATTGCAGACTTATTTTATTTAGGTGATAGACCTTTTACTTGTAACTACTGTAGACTAAGCAGCTCTGGCATAGTGGGTAAGGCATTTGACTGCTAACCAGAAGGTCAGCGGTTCAAACCTACTTGTTGCCCCACAGTGGGGAGATGAGGCTTTCTCATTCTGTAAAGATTCACAGCTTTGGAAACCCAACGGGTTGCTATGAGTCTGAATCAACTCATTGGTAGTGGGTTTGGTTTTTTAGGGTATTTTACCATAGACTAAAATTAGTAAACTGTATCATCTTCAGTTTTACTTGCAGAAATAAGTGTAGAATGACTTAAACTGGCAGCTGCTTAAAAATTTGTGTTATATTTTAATCAGATTTGTTAATCAAAAGTTATTCAAAATTATTTTGGTAAATTCTATCCAACTTCCCTTTGGAATTTTAGTTTTAGCCCCAGTGTAGCATTCTCCTGGCATATTGTGATAGTGACATGTTTTTGTTTTTGTAATATTGCTGGAAATATATCCTACTAATCATTCTCAAACTCCTTTGATGGTTTTATTAGAAGCTGGCTAAGCATGATAGTTGAGCAAAATGGCAAGAACTCTGTATGACTGTGTGACTCTTGGCTCTTATTTAAAGGTGATGCTGTGGAACCTTCAGAAAGCCCGGCCACTCTGGATTACAAATTTACAGGAGGATGAATCAGAAGACATGGAAGGCCCACAGTCACCTGGTCAGCTCTTAAACCCTGCTCTAGCCCACTCTGTCTCTGTGGCATCATGTGGCAATATTTTTAGTTGTGGTGCAGAAGATGGGAAGGTTCGAATCTTTAGGGTGATAGGAATCAAGTGTGAACAGGAACTGGGATTTAAGGGCCATACCTTGGGAGTATCTCAGGTTAACTTTTTGCCAGAATCCTATTTGCTGCTTACTGGAGGGAATGATGGGAACATAATGTTGTGGGATGTGAGCAGTGAAGTTGAAAAAAAACAGAAGAGTCCGACAAAGCATACCCACAAGAGGAAAACTAAAAGATCAACTTCCACCAAGCAAGGTGGAAACACTAGTGCCTCGGTAACAGATGAGGAAGAACATGGCAGCATCTTACCAAAGCTAACTATTAAACATGGAGAAAAGGTGAACTGGCTCTTGGGTACAAAAGTAAAGGGATGCCAAAATATATTAGTAGCTGATCAGACTAGTTGTATATCTGTGTATCCCTTAAATTAAATTGAAATCCAATAAAAACATTTGAAGAACTGTGTTTTTTAGGGTAAAAAATAAAATTCCTTCATTTGAACTGTTTGTCATATATAGACTCATACCATCCATTATATAAATGTTAGGACAATTGGAGAAAGAAGATAATTGAGTAATACTTCACATAGTAAATGACATATTAACATTAGGGGGAAAACAAGTAATATTCCTTGAATAGTGACCACACACCAGCCATTATATACATTTTAGTTTTATTCCAAGTCAGTGAAGTGGATAATTTTCTCCCTTTTCATGCCATAGGAATCAAACTGCAGAGATGCTAAGTGACTTGAGGATCCAGGAAAATTAAAAGCATACTTACTTATCTGGAAAGGACCTTGGTTGTCTTGTCCAAACTTTTGGCTTAGGGACACCCAAATCCTGACCCACATAAGTTAGAATGTTGTTAGCTGCCATCAACTGGGCCTCAACTCCTGGTGATGCTATGTATAACAAAATGGGACAATTGTGATCCATAAGGTTTTCATTGGCTGGTTTTTGGAAGTAGATTGCCAGGCCTTTCTTCCTAGTCTGTCTTAATCTGGAAGCTCCACTGAAGTCTGTTCAGCAGCATAGTAACACACAAGCCTTCACTGACAGATGGTTAGTTACTGTGCTTGAGGAGCACTGGTCAGTAATCAAACTCTAGTTTCCTAGATGCAAGACAAGAATTCTACTACTCAAGGCCTTTGTTGGTATTAACTTTTACTAATGTTTCTATTAGTAAACACAACCTTGCTTGCTGAAGGTGAAGACTTAAAACACTGATGAAGATCAAAGACTACAGCTTTCAGTATGAATTACACTTCAGCATGGAACTAAAGTCCTCACAGCTGGACTAATAAGTAACAACATCATGATAAATGGAGAACGATTAAAGTTGTCAAGGATTTCATTTTACTTGGATCCATAGTCAACGTCCATGGAAGCAGCAGTCAAGAAATCAAATGACATATTGCACTGAGCAAATCTGCAGCAAAAGACCTTTTTAAAGTGTGAAATAGCAAAGATGTCACTTTGAAGACTACGGTGTGCCTGGCCCAAGCCATGGTATTTTCAATCACCTCATGTATGTGAAAACTGGATAGTGAATAAGGTAGACTAAAGAAGAATTGATGCATTTAAATTGTGGTGTTGACAAAAAAAAGTACTAAAAATACCATGGACTGCCAGAAGGAAAAACAAATATGGCTTGGAAGAAGTATAGCCAGAATTCTCATTAGAAGGGAGAATGGCAAGACATGGTCTCATGTACTTTGGACATGTTACCAGGAGAGACCAGTCCCTGGAGAATGCCATCATGCTTGGTAAAGTAGAGGGTCAGCAAAAAAAGAGGACCCTCAACAAGGTGGATGGATACAGTGGCTGCAGCAGTGGGCTCAAACAGCAATGATTATGAGAATGGTGCAGGACTGGGAACTGTTCTTTTGTACATAGGGTCACTGAGTTAGACATGACTCAACAGCACTTAAACACAACAACAGTTTCTAAGAAAAGGATTCCAGAATCAAATCATTTTAGGAGATAAGGCCTACCAAATCATTATGGTTTGAGAAATTCTTCATAAAAAGAACCCCATTTAACTAATTTGTTTCCAAAACAGTCAGCTTACAAAATTGACCACATAATCCCTTTTGTATGAAACGTGTAGTCACATATCACAGATCTAGTGTTCTGAGAATCTGTTTAGAAAAATGCTATAAAAGACAATGCAAGCTAGTGTTTTAACATATGCTGCCCTGAACCTGTTAGAATGTGACTGGGCATTAGTATTTACAAAAAATATCATTGATTCTGATGCATGCCAATGGTTCAAATATGAACAAGTAGCTGCTGTGTTTCTAAAAACAAGGATGTGGTACACATTATCTCCAATTTCTGGTAGAGATGGAAAGGTCAAATGAAGAATTTGTTGTTTTCATCCACTACAACTCTTCAAAATTATACTTGTTAAGCTGGAAGAGGCAACCATGTATTTTTTTTATAATGGAGTTTTTTTGTTTGTTTGTTTTTTTCCCATTTATATGGAAACATGGGATAATAAGGGACATTGTCTCTTCAGCCCTGTTACCACTCTTGGCCCCATTATGAATTGAACTGTGTCCACCCCAAAATGTGTGTTACAAATCCTAATCTCTACACCTATGGTTGTAATCCCATCTGGGAACAGAATTTTCTTTGTTTGGTTAATGATGCCCTATCAGTGTAGGGTATATCTTAAATCAATCATTTTTGAGATATAAAAAGAGCTGATTAAGCAAGGACAGATGGGGAAAAGATAGATGACACTTGGAGATCTCCAAAGAAGCTGAGAAGAGTTCTAAGGAAGCTTAGACAAGGATTTTCCTCGAGAATGGACAGAGAGAGCTTTCTCTAGAGTTGGTACCCTGAATTTGGACTTCTAGCCTCCTAAACTGTGAGAAGTAAATTTGTTTATTAAAGCCACCCACTTGTATTTCTGTCAGAGCAGTACTAGATAAATAAGACAGTTCCAGTGCTTCCAAGACTAAAACATCTTATGGGCCTCATGGAAGCACTACACCCATACTCTTTCTTACTTCTTTTAATTGAAAATATATTTTCAAAAGAGTGTATGCAGTTTTTTTTTTGTTGTTGTTAGTTGTCCATGTGTACAGAGTAGAATTGCTTCATAGGGTTTTCAAGGCTGTGACCTTTCAGAAATAAATTTCCAAGCCTGTCTTCTGAGGCACATTTCGGTAGTTTCAGACTGCTAACCTCTCAGCTACTATAGTTGAGTGCTTAACTGTTTGTACCATGTAGTTTTTAGATATAGTTTAAGTAATAATAAAAGAAATACCCATGTTACCCCATCACCCACACCACTGCTACAAAGCTTGTTGTTGTTATGTGCTGTTGAGTTGGACCTGACTCCTAGCGACCCCTCCTTGGGTTTCCGAGGCAGTATCACTTTGGAAGAAGATTGCTCCATCTTCCTTCCGAGGAGTGGCTGGTGGGTTTGAACCGCCAGCCTTCTGGTTAGCAGTCAAGTGCCTTAGGCACTATGCTACCAGAGCTCCTAGGAAACAGAAAATACCAACATTTTAAAGCTCTTTCCAGTCATATCATTGAATACACAATACAATGAGGCTGGCATTTTTGCCTTCAGTTTACATATGAGGAACTGAGACTAAGGGATTAGTTAGCATGTTTGCCAAAGTCAACAAGAAGTTCATGGTTAGCCATGACGACTGCAAAAGCCAACAATCCTAATCACTGCTTCAGAGGTAAGACCTGACCTTAAGTGAGCCATAATTTTTGTCAAATACTTATATTTCCCCCAAAAAAGGTTAGATTGGGTCTGTCTGCCACTTTCCAGTGTGGAGCCCTTACTTGTGTAGAGTTTTAAGGGGTAGTTGGCATTCTTTGGCTCAGGCACCAATCTCTAGTCTGGTCAGTTGGATCCAGACTGGCTCAACTGGTTTCAGTAGATGGCACAAGACCTTTACTCAGAACAGGTTCAGGTCATTGTTCTTTTAAAAAGTTAGTGTGGCTGGTGTCAGGTTTCATGGGCTCCCCTAAAGACTGGTAAGTACAATAACTAAAATAAGATGAAATTACAACTCCTTTTTTATTGTGGTGGTGTTGTTGTTATGTGCTGTCAAGTCAGACCCGACTCATAGTGACCCCTCCTTGGGTTTCCGAGGCAGTATCACTACAGAAATAGATTGCTCCATCTTCCTTCTGAGGAGTGGCTGTAATGGTTTTTAAATAGCTATACTCACTGCCATGGAGTTGATTCCGACTCATGACGACCCCTCCTTGGGTTCCTGAGGTGGTCTCTCTACGGAAGTAGATTTCCCAGTCTTCCTTTCAAGGAGTGGCTCTAAGGACATATATTAATATTTTATACTTTTCTTTATGATGGCACAATGGCCCACAGTTTCTAGAAAAGCATGTGGTTTAAAAAAGACTATATTTCTGAATAATTTTTAAATAGCTTTTTTCAACATAAAGTGATTTTAAAATCATACAGCCAATTCTGGATTAAAGATTATATTTTCCTAAAAGCTCATCTTGCCTAAAAGCTTTCCTATTATTTCTTTTTTAAAAATTTCATTTCCAATTGGCAAAAAAAGAAAGTTTGATGAAAAAAATTTTAAGCTAGCCATGTTGACATAAAAACAGTTCAAATGGATTTAAAGAACTATTTTTAAAGTTTTCATTTTGGAATATTCAATACAGCATAATTTTAGACATTAGTTAGAATTCCCAACTCTGCCACTGACTAATCTTTGGCAAGTTGCTTCTCTAAAGCTTAAATTTCTTCAGTTATTAAATGTCGTTGTTGTTAAGTGCCATCCAATCAGTTCTAACTCATAGCAACCCCCCATACAACAGAATGAAACACTGCCCGGTCCTGCACCATCCTCACAATTGTTGCTGTGACCCATTGTTGGAGCCATTCTGTCAATCCATCTCATTGAAGGTATTCCTGTTTTTTGCTCACCCTCTACTTTACTAAGCATGATGTCCTTCTCTAGGGATTGGTCCCTCCTGATAACATGACTTATTGCCATCTTCGCTTCTAAGGAGCATTCTGGCTGTGCTTTCTCCAAGATGGTTTTGTTCACTTGTTAAATAGACTATTAATATTACTAACATTAAAGGGTGTGAGAATAATGAAAATATATAGACCACTTAGCTCCATACCTGAAACAGTAAATTTTCAATAAATAGTAGTTGCCATTTTTAAATTTAAGGCACTTTGGTGGTGTAATGGGTAGGGCATTTGGCTGCTGACCAGAAGGTCAGCAGTTCAAACCCACCAGCTGCTTCATAGGAGGAAGGTGAGGCAATTCACTTCCACAAAGATTTACGGCTCTTGGAAATCCTTTGGGGGTTGTTATGAGCCAGAATTGACTTGATGGCAGTGGGTTTTGGTTTTGTTTGTTTGTTGTTAAATTTAGGAGTCCCTGGGTGGTGCAAATGGTTAATATACTTAGCTACTA